TTTGGTGGTATCAAACTATTCAGAATAGTTTCTGTCGTCTGCTGAGAGCCCATGTACGGCGAAGAAAATTATTGTCCAGAATTGGGGCCGTCCGATATTTTTACATCGAGATGATTTTCTCTGATAACAAAAGATAATTGCTGATGTTTTTTGTACTTTTATGTACCTTATCTCTGTTATCTATCTTATGATAACAGAAGAATTCAGTGGCAACTTCTTCAGAAAAAGTTACAGTGTCCGATTAGTGGGAGTGTCCGATAACGGAGAGATTACTCTAGTATCAGAATTTATTGTAAACGTGTACCCATTAAAATCGTTTACTTATTAATATTTTGTGTCTTAATTTTTAGAAACATCCAGCAGTACCACGATTTATGTTTTAGAGCTAAAAGACTCTTACTCTTACACAATCCCTAGCTTTTCTGTAATTTCCGTCTCATTGAGACATGCTGTTGTACAGATGCATGATGATTCATTGGATGATCTGGATTTAGGCATCTTTGATATCTTTTTTAGAGGTGATATATGTCTTTCGTTACCTACACCACTTTCAGTAGAGGCACTTGAAACCTGTTTAGTGAATGTAAGTAGTATATATACAAGTATTTGTTACATCTACATGTATATGATTTTTAGATTGATGAATTCAGCCAGCAAATACTAATACCAAATATAAGGCTTGTAAGCAATGCAGTGTATGTGGTTTGGAAATGGAAAATGAAGTCACAAGTACAGATAAATACCTTGGAGCCAACAGATGAGGAAGAAAATTATAATGAAGAGGATAATGAGGAAGAAAAGGAGATTTCAGTTTCAGATTCTGCTGAGGATGAATCATATGAAACTGTAACATTTAAGTGTATTGGAGCAACCAGAGAAATTTCATTTCAAACAGCACTACGCACTGCTAGCAGTAGAATTCGTAATCAAGACTATGTTCCAGTTCGTTTAACGCCAGAGCCGAATAATATTTATGACTCAAAAGCTATTGCATTTGAATGTCAATTAGGAGGAAAGTGGGAGAAAATTGGGTATGTTATTAAAGAATTACTCGATATTGTGCATGATGCTATTGAATCTAAAGAAATTGTAAAAGTAGAGTTTTCATGGATTAAATACATCACAGATTGGAGAAGATCAGGACCTGGACATTTTGCTGGCATTTCTATTTCGAAAAATAGTAGATGGGACAAGACTATTCTAAAGTATAGCAGCACACGTTGAAACAATTACTCTATAACTATCTAATAACTATCAGGATATTGTTTGTATGGTACTATTGACATTGTTAAATTAATTGATTGTTACAGGTGAATTGACTATCAATATGTACACACACAATTGTAGAATTATTATGTTTAATCATTGTTTAAGACAAGCAAATTATCATCAGTATGAATGTTCAATAGCAATTAAGTCTGCAATAGCTGTTTCAGGAGGTGGTGGCAACTCAACTGGTACTTGATGAAACTGGCGACGAATGGACTTTTCCCCAATCTTGATCATTGTTGTTCTACCTGCAGCAAACAGACCTGGTTGTTCAATGGTACGCAATCGCTGTTGTCGTGGATTCTGCTTAGACATTTCATATTTATCAAAGGTTGGCCTTTCTCCTTCAAAAAATCTATCGTGTGTTGCAGTATAATAGTAAAATGGGAGATCTTTATCTATTCTTTTTGAGTACTCAATACAAACTTTCTTCCATTCTGTCATAACAGATTTGCATGTGAAATGATTACCTATGGTGTCTCTAAGAGTACTGAAAAAGCATTCCACGTCATCTGTAGTGCTAGCTCGTGGATGTTCAGCAGGTACACCATCGCTACGCTTTCTGCGCATCCATTCCCTACTTTCAATTGTTGTAGTCAATGCAATTAGAGTCTACTGTGTCATGCCTTGAATGGCAGTGGTGTCTCTATAAGAGATAAAATTATGATACTGTAACATGGTATTTAAATAACTATATTTGCCAATATACATTGCATGGCCATGTACAACAGATGTAGAAAATAATTAAAGTAAAATGTGCAATTATGAAAATAAATTGTGACTGCTGACCTGTTTACTTCTAAAGTACTGAAATCATAATTGTCTCTATGCCAAGGCATTAAATCGTCTAATAGAAAATTTAACATGTTGTAGTTGTACCGGCATCTCTCTAACTCCGTTAAACCTCTTTCATCTGATGCTCTACGCCAATTAAGGACAGTTCTCACAAACTTTGCCTCAGAAGTATAGTCATTCCTTTCCATATACTTTGCAACACCTTCACTAAACAAACGTTCTGCATCCTGTACAGATTGCTTCCTTTGACCAGTTAAGGCAGGATACGTCAAGCCAGAGGTGGGATCATCAAGCGCCTTGACAAATCTTTCCAACTGTAGCTGAGCTGGGCCACCCGATCTAGTGGCAGTAGCAATTCTCTATTTAATAATAATTATTAAAATGTAATATAGCCCATTCTCTATAGTACAGTAGCATTTAATTCAATAATTAACAAAAAAGTAAATAGTTTAGGGCTACATGTGCATACATGTAACAAAGTATACCTTTAAAACATGTGCATTATCCTCCCTTTCATGATACTCTGAGTCAGTTATAGGGTGAACCTCAGGCACATACATGTAAGTAGAAAAAGGAACTCCTTTCATAGTATATTGACAAATCTGATGTGAATATTCAGATTGTGCCAAAATAGACCTTAACTTGTCAGAATAAGTTTCAACAGGACGATCTATGTTATGTAAATAAGTAGACACAAAATTTTAATGTTATAATTACTTGAATTCCAAGGCTTCGGAATATAACCTGATGGTACACATTGAACTCGTAAACGATCAATAATGTCATTAGTGTCCGCACCAGCTAGCTTCCAGGAATAAATCATTTTTAGTACATCTTTTGAGATGCAGTCACTAGCCAACTTGGCTGAGACATTACCATTTAACTCAACTAATAACACAATAATTAAAATAAAATTAAAATTTACTGCAATACCTATAGGCTCAAGCATTGCTTCCATTTTAGCTATGGACATCTTAGAATACTTGTTTCTGGCAATAGATCTCACTTTGAGTACAGAAAGGGGGCGTGTGTAACCCATCGAACGAAAGGAATTGTATTCCCCATTACTAACAAAACCTGTGAAAAAAGAAGGCAATAGGCTTTCATTCAATTTTATATACAATGTACCTGCTACTTTCATATTTCGCTTATTCATCTCAAAAATAATCTTGCTAATAAAGGTACGAGCTTCCTTAGCTGTCAAACTCCGGTAAGGAACACAAGACACAGGCAAAGCATAAGGCTTACATAATCTTTCACTAGGACTGATCATTGTGACAAGAATGTGTGTGGCCTTTTTCCGCTGATGCCTAGTGACTTCTCGAATGAACTGAAGCAAACTCTCCTGCAGCTTGACTAATTTACTAGCTGTGTTATCTTTGATGACATTTGCTGTATCATTTTGTAGAAATTCTAAGAGATATACAACTTCTGCATAAATCTGCCGTCCCAGAGATATCAATCGACCTAATCCATCTACAGTCCAAGATAGAGAAAAAAGCTCCTTGTCCCCTACATTTCTTCCCGAGGATACTTTATCTAACAATTCCTTATTAGCTTCTTTAAGAGCTACCCAAAGAATAAACAAAGGTAAAATAATTAGACCATTTAGATGTACCTTTATCAATGTAAGTCAAATCATTAACAATAGATTCCTTAATACATAACAGATCTCCAGCTGTCAACATCCTTTGTTCCACCTCGCTTATGTGACGATTGATGTGCTTCACAAGGCTGACACGCTCCATATAATTGCTATACTGCTTTTGAAGATTGCCATCACCAAGATCTACATCACCACTCCATTCAAGTCTCATTGATTCAGTCAACCCAGCAATAACATCACACCCATCAGACTTGATCCACCACTCTGTATCAGGCAGCGCTTTATAAGCATCATTTAAAATAGATTCCTATAACATCATTAGATAAATTTTACACAATATACATGAGTTTACCTGTATACGTGCATCACTAGTAAAAGAAGATTTCTGAATATCACGTTGAATTGAACGCGCAGATAAAGCAGGGATGTTCACACGTGCCTAGCAGACAACAGTATTATGCAAATTTAAGTAACAAAATAATTACTTCACTAGTCAATAAATGAGAATCACTAGATGATGGACCACCCTGTTCTGTTGCAACAAATTTCCACATGGGGCCTCCATGAAGGTTTAGCCATTTATTTCCAAAATGACAGTACATGGTTTGCAACCATAATCTATAATCTTCCGGGCAAGATACCTAAAAATTATACATGAAACTCCATTAGTACCTAAATGTAAGCATGTAATCTAGCTACCTTAGACAAATTATCTGAAGTAAAGAAATTAACGCTGTACTCAATCAGCCCAGTGAGCACACTCTTTACTGGAAGCAACGAATCATTACCACTAGATCTCTGACTACCCAAACCTTTAGCCAATGCATACACAATATTGCTTCTGTTTGAAGACTTAAGATTTAGCATTCCTTTAACAGCAAGTACAAGAAAGTCAGAAGGAAGTGAAATATCAACTCGTGTACAATATGTAGCAAAAGATTCGCTTAAAGAGAGTAAGTGTTGTTCTGGATCCATTAGACACAAATCATTAAGTAATTGAGCCAAACGGTCAACAGTCTCAATGTTTATGGACACAGCAGAAGTAGAAGAAGTGGGTGAGCTGCTAGTATGATGATCATCCATTTGTGAAGGACTACATTGACTATGTAGAGATGAATAATACTCTTCAGCTGCCTTCGGGGTCTTAAAACATTTAATTAAATGTCGGGTTACTCTAGTGCGACAAGATCCACCTACGTGTACATGAACATACATGTAATATATATCATAAAAAAGAATAATTACTATAAAAAAGTTCACATTTAAATTTTCACTAATCTGCAAAATTTAACCCTTCTCTATCTCTCTATCAGTTTTGTAATCTCTACACATGCTTGTACACACATACACTTTAAAAATTTAAACATTTTACTAGCATGTATTTACAAGTAAGGTACGAGAATAACGGCAGCATTAACATGCCAAGACCATGGGCACTCATTTAACAGAAAGACAGGGCGGCAATTGACTATTTGTAAAGAATTGCATCTTACTTGTTCGAATTGTACCACACGTTCTGAATAAAAGTAGATGCCCCTTCCCAAAACTTGGCACTTTTGACAGAAGGCCACTTATCATCAGCAACATTACTTATAAGAATGAAGGAGGTGAGTGCCTCATCTTCTTTGTCAATCCATGAATTCGGTGGATTGAACAGAGGGCGTCTGGCAATAGTTGTATCCCTTTCTCTGATAGCATTCTGTCGTTTGCTAGGGCGTACAGGCGTTTTCCCAGAAGGAGAAGGCATGCCCCTTTTAGATGCCATATTTTCTGAAGCAATGACCACACCTACAAAACATGGCCTCAGTTTGCTCGATTTTGCTATTTTGCTTCATAAAAAATAAATTGGGGCACATGGTTAATGACAAGTTGGAGAGTCTTAAAATGCTAAAGGTAACAGTATGGAGAAATAAAAATGAGGGGAACACCATCCAAAAGCTATGCTGCATAGTTTATTAGTGATCACGTGATGCTAATTAATTGACCTTTTGACCCTGTCGAACCTCCTCTGGGGCTGAGGCTGTTATTCA